TTTCTGAGTTATGTTTTTGGGTTTTTGGGAAATGCGGTTAAACTTGGCGTCGATGCAACAGTCGCCCACAGGTGATCTGAATCTTTTAGGAACATCTATTTGTCATAAAAAAACTAGACAAAAAGCTCGTAGAAATGATTAGCAAAGAGGTAAGCGCTAATAACATGCCTGTTTGGATAAAATTAAAAGTGTTTTGTAACAATTTTAATACCACACCGCATGAGAGATTATGGAGAGACTCACAATACTTGGAAAAATGTTTGAGTTTGTGATATTATAAGCATTTTTATATTGGCTTAGAGAATAGGAGTTTAAGTACATATATCCTACTATGGTAATACAAAGCGAGAGACCAACGAGGTTTAAAAATTATATATTATATATATATATATATATAGTATTTCCTCTAACTTCGATTGTAGCGTAGGACAATAAACTTCACACAACACAATCCTTCTGCGAGGAAGGTCGTAGGGGCTGTTTACATGATAATGACGGCTATAGCGGGCGTCTGTCAGGGAGCGAGCGGCTCTCGTTATAAATGTGTATATTTTTATGACAGTTTATAGACCAAGGTAGCAGGCCTGCCAACGGACTAAGAGACCTGAGCTAACCCCCATTTTTCTGTAAATACTGGATTACTGAAACCAATAAGCAACTTAAGTTTTATGGATTAGGTTAGATCATTTTGAAGTACAATAGAATTTTTCATAAAACTTGAAAATCTATAGCAAAGGGTATATTCTGTCTGAAATTCTTCTGGTTTTAGAAATGTAATACTCCAGTTATTATAATAAAATTACTAAACAATACTTTGTGGGATATTATTTTGTAAACCTCAAATCTCGCTATCATTCTGCCGTAAACTCTTTGGAAATTCAAGGGAACCGTGAATTATTTTCGTCAGATTTGTTTGTCTGTTCTTAAGCGACTAGAATAGATTGCGTAAAAATGTACATAACTCTATAAAACTTTTCTTAATAATTATTAGGCTTAGTTTGGTAATGCTGCGAATTTCAACTTAATGAAGAGGTTGATAATGAGAAAGACGCAGCAGTTAGCTGTCGGTTTTTATTTTCTTAGACTTCTAAACGAAGACAAAACTTAAGATTGCTTATTCAAATGGAGTAGTCATATGTCTATTTCAGACTGAAAATGGGTGTAGTAACTCAAAACTTAAAAAAATATAAAACTATACATATTTTTTTTAGACTCATTTGTTATACACTGAACAGGGTTATAACATTGGAGACCCTATAAAATATGCATATAAGCGATCAGCGTGACGAGCTGAGTCGAATTAGCCATATTCGTCTATTGATCTAAAACTTTGAACACATCCTTTTTTTCCTAAGAAGCCGCTCATCTTTTGCAACCGCCGATATTGGACCACTATCAAGTTATTGTTTGGAAAACTTTTTTATTTGACAAGATATCGTGACGAATTGGGGATATAGAAATGTTCCCAAAAGCAACGCAATATTATCTGAACAAATTTTTTAGATAGTATCACTATAGCATATATTATTATTTTTTGTATTGTGAAGGGTATTCTAGCTTTGTTGGAATAGAAGTTAACGTTTTTTTCTTTCGCCGGCAGCGCAAAAAATTAACTATGCTACATATTCTTAGAGGAGACGAGAGTATCAACTCTTTGCTTTCCAGCAGATCGAGAAAAAAAAATTGCACAATATTTTCGAGGTATTTGGAGTATGATCTTGATATGGAAATTACCGATGAATGCAATTATTGGTGCAATTGGGTTACGAAGATTGTCAAATTTAGTATACTTAGGACACCTTTTTCACTCTCTTTCTCTGTGCACCTCGAGATTACAAGGATCACGTGTTTTATAAATTATTACACGCTACGTTTGATACTATCACGCAAGAGCAGTGATTGATTAATGCCAATTAATTATAAATTAATGTGACTGTAGCTAAGAGCTTTATTTCTTTTTATCTAGATATTGCAATATTGTAATTAAATTAAAATTCGACATGTTTTTAAACTTTTTTTTAGCGCTTTGTCTCTACATCAATAACACACGAATAAGCATAGGTTCCTTTGGAGAGCATGTACACATTAAAAAGAAAAAACAAAAAATCCCTACCAGCATCTACATATAGCCTCTTATACGAATGTGGGTGCTGCCAGTTGGTATTTACCACACACGTAGTCGAATGTATATATTTATGTATATGCAAGTATATGTATATCAATATAAAAATTGTCTGTGATTTTCTTTTGTTACTTATTTTTCTCCAATTCGCACGTTCATCTTATATGCTTCACGCTTCACTTGTTGTACATATTTAGGTATATTCGATTTTTTCTTCTCTTGTAAATGTCACTTATATACAAATTATATATGTATAGTGTGGCATGTGTACTCCCACATGAGTTGTCGAGTAGGGAGCGATGCCGGGATGGGTCGGCGAAAGTGTGTCGGTTGCAGCGTGTGTACAACTTCGATTCTGATTGGACGCTACATTTGTCTGCCTCACCGGGTGTATGCGCCACAAATACACGCATATAAATGACTTCACACATATATGTACATGGAGCTCAGGCACACATACAGCGATGTGTGGGTACATAAGCGCCTACACATTGGCGCTGACGATGTTGCGCATATGCGTCAATACGAACATGTACATACAGGCATACATGTATATACATACATATATGGAGTGTGTGTGTGGGGTATATATATGTACATACAAAACTTATACGGGTGTATTGTGGACATTGGAAAACTCCACCCACCAAGTTGAGGCGATTTGATGGGTGTACTAAATCGATTATTCTAACATGTTAAGTTGTGCCGTTGTTGTTTTTTTTTATTGGCAAATATGTCTATATATTAAATATAAAGCATGTATTATATACATATGTACACGTGCAGTGAATTTCTGATTCTTATACTTATATATGCGTGTGTGTATTTTCCATCAGCAGATTATTTTTGGTCCAAGTCATCGGTACAGACGTTAAAGCAAATTGGGAAAACTTTTTTCTTTCACAATGGAAGTCGAATGCTTATGATGAAATTAATTTCCAATAATTGAATTTATTAAAAAAAATAAAAAAATTACCAACAACCAAATGTACGCCGTGAGCTAAGTAAACTTGAAAAGCAGACCATTTTAAATGACAGTTGAAATTACCTAGGAACATCATTTATTGCTACTTCTATTCAGTTGTAATAAAAAATTGAAATATATCTCTAAAGTTTAAGTCCAGTAACAGGCATACTTTAAAATATGGGTTAAAACTCATCGATCCGGTTTTATGTTTTAATTTTAAGCAAATGCGGCTTTAAAAACAGACTCTGATAGCAACAATTCTTATTCTTCATACCGAAATCTCTCTGAGAGCATCGCTATACTCACAAAAATTGGTTCATGGCTCCAAGTAGACCCAGGAATCCGTAGCATATTCGATTTTTAAATCGCTTCTGAATGATAAAGGTTCGTTCTACATTCCTAATTATTTTGTACTTTCGAATGAGACGAACTTGTATCGTTTGCTCGGTATTTATACTTGATACTAAATATCTATGTATGAAGTTTTTTAATACCACTATCATAGAAACCATCATACCTATTGGCTAAAAACTGAGACAGTCGATTTTCACAAACTTCTTTTGCGGCGAATTTTTCCTCAATCACTTGGTGTCAGATCTGGACTACAAGGTGGATGCATAAGAACCCTCTTACCAAGCTCCCTGTGCATTTGGCAAATCACTATCGATATATTGGCCGGCTTCTGAGCAGTTACTTCCTTCAAATGGTTCAATTGTTGAGAGTACAGGTCTGAGATAAGAGTGTGACCTTATGAAAGCAGATCATCCCCCGCCCCTAATAAGTTTAATGTATAAATCTTCCAAACCAATAAAGCTATATCACCTAAATTCGCAGAGAACAAGTCTTTGTTACCTCTCTTACGATAAAATGAAAATAGGCGAAATCAGATAATAACCACGCCATCTCGCCATATAAAAGTTATGTTGAAAACTACTGAAAGTACGATAACTCGCGGAATGAATGAACAACAAGGTGAAATCCTATATCTCAGAAACTATTTTACGGATTTCAACTAAATTTAGTGTGTGAGGTTACCCAATTATTCTTGTTAGACACTTCAATTCACAGTATTCAAATCACATATTAATAAAGTTGTCAGAATACAACTTTGCACAAATAGCGCCCACATATAAATTGTGCCGAAAATAAGTAAAAGCGGGTCAACACTTCCTTTAGCCCCCATAAACCTAAATAATTTAATAACTAAATATTTTCGATTGAAATTAAGAAAGAATCTTAATGAAATTTCGCAAGAATCTCTTTCTAATAACAGTCTTTCCTTAAATGGGTGAAATCACGGCGATATTTTCCTTAGTTTGATATAAAGTTTTGCTTAAACCTGAAGGTGTTCCTCCCCCTTTGCTTTTTACATAGCCCTTCTTTACTTGTTAGTACTAAATTTTATATTTCTAACACTTTATAACGTAAAACACTTATACAACGCGCGACTAGCGTCAAACCATCTTTTAAATATTAGATTTATTTTTACTAGACCTTATATATTTATTTATTTTGCATTCAATGATAATCGTTTCAAAAGGTGGCCTTTCACACAGAGCCACCTTGCGAGCTTTTAATACCCCATAATAAGGGGTTTGTACCAACCTCTGCAAATATAATATTTCCTACTAACAACCCATATACAATTTTTTCGCACTGAAATATTTGATGCGTAGATTTTATAAACGAGCCTGTATTTGCCCTACAATTTACTCTAAGACAACAAAATCTACCAACATATAAACATTTGGACTTCTGCGGCTGTTTTTATAAGAAAACGTTCATATAAAGAAAATGTTTACTTTCTTAGACGAAGATTACAGTCGCTTACAGTCTGATCGTGCAAGCTTCAACAAAAGTTCTCTTTTCTAACGAAGCTGAAACAGACTATCTTGAGAATACGTACTAGAATTCAGAATTGTGGCATTTATTGTGTATTTTGCATTTTTAATTATTCCAAAAATATTTTCTTAAGCAACTTCCATTATTTTACGTCTAACCACGTCTACGTCTGCGTCCACCTCTACGGCGACGGCGTCTGCGTCCACCTCTACGACCACGACGACGACCTCTACCACGCCTTCTACGGCGACGTGCACGTCCCCCATTATCGACGCCTTCCACGGAGTTGGTGAGTTGACGTACAGTAGCCTCGACTTCGTTTTGTTCCTGCGCCTGTGCGGCATTTTTCGCGTTCTCGTTCCTTAAAGTCGAATTGGCAAAGTCGTCTTCACTATTGGCATCGCCATCATCTTCCGCCACCCTATCATCATTTTCATCAAAATCGTCCTCATTGTCTTGGTTATTGTATTGATTCGTATTCAATTGATTCCTGGTATTTTGCTGCAATTGCTTACGTGCTGCAAGCCTTTCATGCGCAAAAGCGCGTCGAATCTGCTGTGTATTCGCGGCTGCAGTGCGCTCAAATTGTTGCAGCAAGCAAAAGATCGCTAGCAACGCGGCCAAAAAGTATATAATCTTTGAAGACATTTCTGAAAAAACAGCTGCTTCGGTCTGCTTTTGGTGATCGCTCGTCAGTTGATCGCAGCGATTGATGCTGTACTCGGCTCATCATGTAGCTTTTATAGCTGAGTGGCAAGCGCGTTCAGCTGTGAGCTGCGCCGCTTTTGCGCCAACACTTGTTCAAATACAAATGTGTCGTTTGGGAGCTTTTGCTTCTTCCAAAGTTTTTGTGAATGAAATGAAACTCAGTAATTAGAAATAATGGAGCATTTATGTACTTAGTAAATATGTACATATATATTTCACAATGTACTATAATATATTCGAACCATGGAGTATGGGTCAATAGTTTCTCGTTACAAAACACACCACAGTCATCGAATTTTCGAGCAATTTTGTTATATGTCAACCTAAGTTTAACCCAAGCTCACCAGTATAAATACCGATGCAAAAGATGGTTTGATATTACAACCACTCCAGCTGTATTACAATCGTGTGATAATCCGCAAATATACGAAAAAAATTAAAAATTTCTTAAAAATGATTTTGAAAGTCGTACTGTTACTACTTGTAGCAACACAAATGCGTTCTTCTGACGCTTTTGGAATGCAAAAGATGTGTATGTTACTTGGTACATGTGGAAATCAAGGGGCGGGCGCGGGTGGCGGTTTGGGCGGCGGGTTGGGCGCGGGCGGCCAGATAGCGGCACCAACCGGACCTGTTACTTATACAGTAACGCTAAGCCCATCAGGTGGAACTACTATAACGCCTCCGCCGTCAACATCTCCTTCACTTTTGACGCCAGCAACGACCGCAGTAGGTTAAACACAATAATGCGATCAGGATCTTAATCGATACGAACATAAACATTGTAATAAATATTTGCTGATGAAAAAAAAGTTTAAGTGTTTAATTATATATTTGTGTAAATATTAGAAATATGGGTTGGGTTCTCTGATAGGATTTGATAAACTTTTTTCCTAATTAAATGCAAGATTGCAGGTTTCAAAGGTGCATTTCTTATAGCACAAAAAGGTATAACAATATATCTATCTTGATTTTGTTAGAGGATTGTAGTGTTGTCTTGGATAATAATTTATGCCAAATGTCGTGACAATCTGTACTAAAAACCTTAAAAGCACTCTTGGTGCCGCGTAATAATGGTTAAAAACACCTAACTGCAGGCAATATTCTCGAAATGAGGATCCACTGCTTTTTATTTAATTATAAGCTTTGACCAGAAGCCATATACAATCTTCTATGTTAAATTTCGTGAAGATAATATTTCAAATAAAACAGCTTTCAATACAAGTCTTGATTTGATTAATCAGTTTGTATGGCAGTTATATCCTATAATGGTTCGATAATATATTAGGTCAAGTTCGTTCGGGTTTTTCAAAAGATGATAACTTTGTGTACGTTTGTCCGATTTAAGTCAAATATGCGCCGTTTTGTTTGTAAACATGTTGCCAACGTCATTATACCCTTCTCGTAGAAGGCTGCGTCCCTATTGGCAAAAAACTCGGAGAGCCAATTTTCACAGGCCTCTCTTGAGGCTAACTTCTCACCATGAACAGGAAAAGATGGTAATCATTTGGTGCCAGGTCCTGACTATAAGGTGGGTGCATTACCTCCCATCCGAGCTCCCGGAGCTTCTGACGCGTCACCAAAAACGTGTGTGGCCTGGCGTTGTCCTAAGGGCCTACAATTCGGCCTCTGTTGATCAAAGATGGCCTCTTCTGGATGAGTGCTGCCTTCAAGCGGTTCAGTTGTTGGCAGTAGAGGGCCGAATTTAGCGTTTGGCCATAGGGGAGCAGCTCGTAGTAGATGCTTCCTTGCCAATCCCACCAAACACACAGTAAAACCTTCCTGGCCGTCAATCCGGTCTTGGCCACCGTCTTTGCCGCTTCGCCGAGCTTTGACCACGACCGTTTGACCGTGACCCATTTTGTTTATTTAATCAGTTATGCGCAAAATTGTGTTAAACGTAAGGAGTAGAAGGAAAATTTTTTTGCTCAAAATAAGTATATACATCACCCGAGCTCTCGTTTATCGCAAGGAATATTAAGAAAGCATCATGCTTCCTCGCAACAACACAGGTATAACCAAACTTAACTGTCTCACGTGTAATGAGCACATTAAAGGAAATACATCTAGTATCCAATGTAGTATTTGTGAAAAATGGAATCACGCTAAATGTCTGAATATAACAAAAGATGACGTGGCTAAAATTTCAAAGCAAAACAACTCGCTAACCAATCACTGTTCGTCATTGGACAAGGGAATTACTCAAGTCGAGAAATGCTTAAAAAATACCACATCAGAGGCTCTTATGACCGAATACGTCATAGCTGAGATAAATGATCATAAAAGGCGCGAAGCAAATGTCATCTTGTTGGGGATCACTGACTCCAACAAGGCTACTGGACAGGAGCGTTTGGAGGATGATCGGGCTACACTGTTAACGATATTACCTCCAGATCTCTCAGCCAAGATCCCGAACTACAAAATGCGTCGTCTAGGGCGTCCAAATGCTGGTCGCAATCGTCCACTGTTGGTCGAAACGACATCAGTAGGTCAAGCTAGGACCATCTTGAAAACAAAGGTACCAGATAACTCACGCGTAGCCTTCTCATCTCGAGAATTTTCATCGCAGTAAAGCGTTCTATTCAATCTGAGCTGATTGTCATAAACGACAACACCCTGGAACGAACTGGATCGACCTTTACAAACTTGACTGTATAGATGATAAATGGAATTGGTTTTACCAAAAAGCGTATGAAGGGGTTGATAGATTCGTTCCGCGGCATGCTAAAAAAACCCATCAACTATCCGTGTCGGTTCACCTTGGAGCTTATATAAAAAATAAAACTAAAAACTGGGCACATGCAATCCACAAACAAAGGAGCACAAGACCTAACTATAAGTGGTTTGCGAGCTTAAGATATGAATGCCAAACATTAAGTGGTAGATGTTATCGAAATTACGTGGCCCAGGTAGAAGACTCCGTCAAGACGGACACCCGAGCCTTATGGAAGTTCATGAAGAATAAGAGAAAAAACAACACAGATACCTATATCGGCGGAAGTGCGATGGAACAATTCAATAGCAAACACTGGAGAAGGAATCAGCAACTTATTTGCATCTTTTTTCGAGAACACCTATACACCCAATGATGCTGGATATACGCAAGACTCAATGGCCGTACCTGCCGCTTCAACTTATCATGATGACAATTCTGGAGTAAATTGCAACTTATCTGACGTGGATGCCAGTTTTGATGACGTTTTCAAACAGCTAGCATCGCTAGATATAAATAAAAGTGCAGGCCCCGATGGACTACCAAATATATTTTTACGCGGTTGTGCGGTAGAACTCTTTGAGCCAATATCTCATATTTTTAGTAAATCGCTATCACAAGGGACATTCCCAACGTGTTGGAAAAAGTCATACGTCTGTCCAATACATAGATCTGACGTCTAAAACTACCGTCCAATCTGCATCCAATCATCACTAGCGAAGCTCTGTGAAAAAGTGGTCCTATCACAACTGGCAGCGTCCTTCAAGGATATTATCATCACCCGTCAGCATGGATTTGTTGGCGGACGATCCACAACAACTAATTTGTTTATCTATATTATTTACTTACTTGTGTCTATGAATGCTGGCACAAATGTTCATGCAGTATACACAGACTTCAGTAAGGCGTTCGACAAAGTTGACCATGAAACATTACTAATCAAACTCTAAATTCTGCAAGTCACTGTCATTTTTCTTAGCACGGCAAACATCAACAGCAGCAGTAGAGGAATTAAAGAAAAAGTTTCAGATCAACTCGCTACCAGCTCGATGCGAACTGGCAGACTTAATGTTCTTTTATAAAGTCTTGAATGGTTTTATCGAGGCTCCTGAGGTATAGGACAGCTTTGAAATAATCAAGATGGGCCAAGTCTTAGACGCAGACGCTTTATTAAAACAACCAAGTTACTTAAAGCTATGTCATACACGGTCCAAGAAACAGGATAGCTAATTATGTAAATGACATGACTCCTCTGATCCAGTTCTTCGGAGATTCCATCCATTGCTTCAATATTGAATTGAGAAGACATCTATACAACTACTACAATGGCTCAAACTCGGATTATATTATATTATATTATTTTTAACGTTAACTGAATTTTGTTTCTCCTCTTTGGATTCTCTATATTATGTCTCATTAAATTTTTGTTTAAGTTACTTACTATATTCGGCAATACTAATATTAATAATAACATTATTATTCCCTTTTACTGTATATTGCCGATTGGCGTTTACGAATAAATAAATAAATAAACAATTAGCCCAACGAATGCCGCACCTACAACGGCTACACCAACATCACCACCACTATTTCCTACGACATCGCCTACAGTGACAACTATACAATTGTTTCGTTCTCTAGATGATGGTACTTGACGTTGGTGAAGACGTAGTCGATGTGGTCGACGACGTTACAGACGAAAATACCAGTCCAGCTATGATATATAATTGAAATTAGGGGAGCATGTTACTTTGATAATAAAATACCCTTTTGTCAAAAATGGGTTAGGTCGCGTCAATACTTTCCTTAGCCCACATATACCTAATATAAAGATTTTTGAACTTCCAGTTGCCTTTAAACCACATATATCGGCCATTGTGGGACTTTGCGCCTAAAATGGATAAAATCGGACAAAAACTTGCCTTAGCCCGCATATAACTGATATTCAGGATTTTGAAACGTCCGGCTGACTTAACTCCGTATATATGTTTATATTTATAAAATTGCCTGAAAATTGTTCTCATGTATAACTGCGCAATGTCAAAAATTAATGCAACCATCCCTTCCATTTCTCTGCCAGCAATATACCTAATATAATATAAAGATTTTCGAGCTTCCACCTGACTTTAAACCACATATGCCTATTACAGTGAAGCATATCCTCGTATTTCAAGCTACTTTAATACTTATTAGACTTTATACATTTCATATTTATATAAAAATTTATTACTTCTTAGACTTTATATTCTTAAAAAGAATTAGCGAAATCGGTTCGGCTGTGCTCGAAATTTGAGCTTAGCATCACATTCAGTTATTAATTTTTATATTATAAATAGATAGTACATATATTCGGTCATTCGATGCTATGGCTATGATATGCATGAAATACTTTTGCATAAACATTGAACTATTTAATACAGTGAACATATTATTTACGATTAAAGGCAAACACTTAGCCGGTATAAGAAGACAAGGGATTTTACTTGAGCTTTAATTTAGAAAATGATTCATACAAATATTTGTCAATGGAAGAATTAATGAAATTTGGCATTTACTGAAAATTTTATTAAATATTTTTTTACTTGTGAAAACATGCTTGTATTAATAAATAAATTTTTTTATAAATTGTTTTTAATTTTTAAAATTTGAGATTTAAACTATCCTACCATTTATGTTGGATTAACCTGGACCTGGAGTGTGCTAAATTTGACTAAAATCGGTTCAGTAGTTAAGGAGATAACTCCGGACAAAACGTAACACCTAATTTATATACATATAGTATGTATGTATATAGATACATCTCATTTCAGGATGAGTTTCGTATAATCGCTGACGATAAACAGAATTTAGTAATAAAACTGAGCCTATGACCTTCAGAATAAGTTAATATGATACCAAATTTGATTGTAATCCATTCACGATTTTGTCGATCAATGATGTTGATGATTTTTATACTTTTGCAACATGTTGCTACAGGGTATAATAATTTAGTTGTTTGCATCACCTAAAACTAATCGTGATAGATAAAGTGCGAAACCGTAATTTTAAAAATGCCATAATTAAGCCGCAAATTAAAATAAAACAAGTAAGGAAGGGCTAAGTTCGGATGTAACCGAACATTTCATACTCTCGCAAAGTCAAATGGTATGTATACTTTTACTTTTACTCGTTTGTGAAAAAAAAAATTAATACTCATTGACTGACATATTCGGTATTAAACTGGTTAGAATAGCGAAAAGCATTATAAGTAGGATATGGAAGTTGAGGGTAGTATTAACCCGATTTTATCAATTTTATCAAGGTACCTCAAAGACCATACCCAATCATATGGAGTAAGGTCAGACGAATGATTGAAAATCCCGATATTAGTTACATGAGCGCTTGGTAAAATTTTCACCCGACTTCATCTATTTTAGGCACAAAGTTACCCTGTTATGAGTAAAATACGCTCTCTCATTTTCATTGAGATAACTCACATATTGGCCGATATATGCGGAAGTTCAAAAACCTTTATAATAGGTATATAAGGGCCATAGGAAGTGTTGATCCGATTCAACCCATTTTTGACATAAAAAACACTACTGTGGACTACTGTGGGACTTTCATTTATTTATTTAGTTATATGAATTTCAGTTATATATCGTACACATTGACCGATATTTTCGGTAAAAGTCAACTATAAACACTGAGGTCCACATATTCAGTACCTAATACCTGCCTAATTTTGAATGCAGTTCCTACAAAGTCATCTTATACTATCCCAGAAATGAAATTTAATGTCTCTGGAGTATTTAGTGCTTCAGTTATAGCGCTTTTAGTAATTTTTAAGTACCTTTATATGGGGAGTCGGCGGAGTTGCCACCCGATTTCACCCATTTTCACATTGGCGATAGAGGTGCTAAAACATTTATTTGTGGTAATTTTGTTATTATAGCTTTAGCGGTTTAGGAGATATGCACACTAAACCTATTAGGGGGCGGGACCACGCCCATTTTCACAAAAAATTTATCCTATATACCAAAAAACAGTTTGGTATCTTATTGTGGAGCTTAGTTATTGCAATTTATTTGTTTTTGATTAATGGCGTTTTATGGGCGTGGAAGTGGTCCGATTACGCCCACCTACGATTTTAACCGTCTTACGGTATTAAGAAACATGTCTACCAAGTTTCATAAAGATATCTCAATTTTTACTCAAGTTACAGCTTGCACAGGCGGACAGACGGACGGACGGACAGACAGTCACCCGAATTTCAACTCGTCTCTTCATTATGATCATTTTTATATATGTAACCCTATATCTAGCTCGATTAGTTTTAGGTGATACAAACAACCGTTAGGTGAAGAAAAGTATTATACTCTGTAGCAACATGCTTGCTAGACTATAAAAATTGTAATTTGGTATAGGAAATCGCAGTAGTGGGAACACTTGTGATAAACAAATTTTTAAATAGTGGACGTGGATCCACTCCCAGGCCAATAAAGCTATATCAACCAAACTTGCTAAAAGGAATTAATTTTATCATCTCTTCAAACTCTTTGAGAAGCGTTAAATTTCACAACCTGGATGGTACGGAAGCCCAGATAAGGAGAAATCTGAATGGATAGAAATTATTTAGGGTGTGCAAAATTTCTTAGGAAATAAAAAGTCTCCAGACTACATTCAACATATTGAGCAGCTCAGGTTACACTTCTGGAGATTAGGATATAACATGAGCATCAATATGCACTACCTCTTCAGCCATTTAGACCGCTTTCCGAAAAATTTAGGCGACTTAATCGAAGAACAAGGAGAACGCTTTCATCAGGATATTCGCACTATGAAGAAACGAGGTCGTTGGAATACAAATATGATGACTGCTTACTGCTGGAATATATTTAATACTTCTAATTTTGTGTTATTTTTAGCTAAAAATGTAATATATTCACATTTCAAAAACTAGAGATGTTATAGAAAAACTGGAACGTGGAAATATCATACAAAATTGGGTAAGCAACTTGATAAAACAAATCTACTATTTTTCAGTGTAATTTAGTGTTATTTACATTTGGAAAAGCCGAACTCGAGAATTTAATTTTACACCTCATTGCCAAAGTATCCTCATCTTGCTTTAAGAATGACGAAATAGGAAGACACTCTTTAACAGAATTTCCTTGATTTTACACTTAATCAAAAGGGAAGAAATACAAAACATAAAGAAACATTAATATAGTAATTGTTTTTTCTGAATTTTAAGTTTCGAATGTCCTGTTTTGAATTCTGTTTTGACCACTTTTTTTTCAACTCTTTCTATATATGTCTTCTTCATTTTGTTCGTTAAACCGAGTACTGACAAATACCCGTTGTTCGTTACTTAAGGTACTCAATGTAAAAAAAAGCTTGTTCTTGTTGTTTTGTATTTTGCATTTTTAATTGTTCCAAAAATATTTTCTTAAGCAACTTCCATTATTTTACGTCTAACCACGTCTGCGTCTGCGTCCACCTCTGCGACGACGACGTCTGCGTCCACCTCTACGACCACGACGACGACCTCTACCACGCCTTCTACGGCGACGTGCACGTCCCCCATTATCGACGCCTTCCACGGAGTTGGTGAGTTGACGTACAGTAGCCTCGACTTCGTTTTGTTCCTGCGCCTGTGCGGCATTTTTCGCGTTCTCGTTCCTTAAAGTCGAATTAGCAAAGTCGTCTTCACTATTGGCATCGCCATCATCTTCCGCCACCCTATCATCATTTTCATCAAAATCGTCCTCATTGTCTTGGTTATTGTATTGATTCGTATTCAATTGATTCCTGGTATTTTGCTGCAATTGCTTACGTGCTGCAAGCCTTTCATGCGCAAAAGCGCGTCGAATCTGCTGTGTATTCGCGGCTGCAGTGCGCTCAATTTGTTGCAGCAAGCAAAAGATCGCTAGCAACGCTGCCAAAAAGTATATAATCTTTGAAGACATTTCTGATAAAACAGCTGCTTCGGTCTGCTTTTGGTGATCGCTCGTCAGTTGATCGCAGCGATTGATGCTGTACTCGGCTCATCATGTAGCTTTTATAGCTGAGTGGCAAGCGCGTTCAGTTGTGAGGTGGGCCGCTTTTGCGCCAACACTTGTTCAAATACAAATGTGTCGTTTGGGAGCTTTTGCTTCTTCCAAAGTTTTTGTGAATGAAATGAAACTCAGTAATTAGAAGTAATGGAGCATTTATGTACTTAGTAAATATGTACATATATATTTCACAATGTACTATAATATATTCGAACCATGGAGAATGGGTCAATAGTTTCTCGTTACAAAACACACTACAGTCATCGAATTTTCGAGCAATTTTGTTATATGTCAACCTAAGTTTAACCCAAGCTCACTAGTATAAATACCGATGCAAGAGCTGGTTTGATATTACAACCACTCCAGCTGCATTACAATCGAGTGATAATCCGTAAATATACGACAAAAGTTAAAAGTTTATTAAAAATGATTTTGAAAGTCGTACTGTTACTACTTGTAGCAACACAAATGCGTTCTTCTGACGCTTTTGGTATGCAAAAGATGTGTATGTTACTTGGTACGTGTGGAAATCAAGGGGCGGGCGCGGGCGGTGGCGCGGCCGCTGCGCCGATCCCGATAGTGGCACCAACCGTACCTGTCACTTATACAATAACGCTAATCCCTACAAGTCCAACGACTCCAACGTCACCGCCACCACCGCCACCGCCACCACCACCGCCACCAACCACGCCGACAACACCAACCACGCCGACAGGAGCAGCAGCACCAACAGCACCAACAGCGACAGCAACAGCAACAGGAACCGCAGCAGGTTAAAACACAATTATGCGATCAGGATCTTAATCGGTACGAACATAAACATTGTAATAAATATTTGCTGATGAAAAAAAAAGTTTAAGTGTTTAATTATATATTTGTGTAAATATTAGGAATATGGGTTGGGTTCTCTGATCTGATGATAAACTTTTTTCCTAATTAAATGCAAGATTGCTGGTTTCACAGGTGCATTTCTTATAGCATAAAAGGGTATAAAAATATATCTATCTTGATTTTGTTAGAGGATTGTAGTGTTGTCTTGGACAATAATTTATGCCAAATTTCGTGAAGTTATCTTGACAAATTAAAAATGTCTTTCGTACAAAAAGGGAGTTCGGTACCTCTCTTGTAAGTAAATTCTGTGACAATCTATACTAAAAACCATAGAGGCACGTAATAATGGTTAAAAACGAGGAAAAAGATAATTTGTTAAATAAAACGGCTTTTAATACAAGTCTTGATTTGATTGATCAGTTTGTATGGCAGTTATATTCTCTAATGATTCGATAATATTATATATGTATACACATCACAAAGTCTCCGACGTTTCCTTTTGGGAAACTTCGTGGCAAACTTAATATATCCTTCACAATCTGCGGATCCATTCTATCGAAAAGAAATACTTTTTTATTTTGTTTGGGGTATAATCATAGTTATTTTTTCTGTCGAATGGGGAAGGTAGTGAGGGCGATGAGCTTAAATCGTTTATTGCGAACATCGTGCTATTCGCAGGATTTTACGATAGTTCCTACGTGATATTTATCATCTCATGTATCGTCACTAGTAATTTTGCTTTAGTATGGTTTGGAATTATGTTTTTACGATGGATAAATTGAAAACGTTACACCGTTTGTTTAATTTTGTGTGAATAAACTACTTTGGCCTACACCATTAGACCTAGAGGTCTGCTTCATGCTATGATTTTCGTAGTTATATCCACGTATTTTTCCGTGATACTAGATGATACTCAGTTAAATTATTATACAAGACATGTCCATTTGCTGTTCTAGAATCCTAACATACTACATTGATAAGAACTGCCAAACCTATTATCTTAAGCTATTCAACAGTATCTTGGAAGGCATCGTGTATGAAGCGACACAAATGTCAGAAATATCTGATATGAACTTCGGCATTCACGAAGCTGGTGCCGAAGTGAGAGCAATAAGCTTTTACTGATCAAATCGATTTATGGAAACTTGTCAAACTCAGCATATTTCTAATGTTAAGAAATGGCTTAATTTAAGGGGTTATAGCCACTTGCGAATCGAATTTTGTTTTTGCATATACGTGCAGATATCTAATGAACATATATTTGAAAATATTTTCTGAATAATTGCAGGTGATCCGCAAATAGTTTCAGAGGTATGAACGTATATGTTAGAATTTTATAACTTATTGTAATCGGCTCCTAAAACTTTAAACACGTTTTTCTCCAAACGTTACACTGTTTTCATAGTCGGTGAGAAAAATATCTCCGTAACGGCTGATCGACTTGAAATTTTTACACGACCTTCGCAAATATATTTGCCAGTTAATCATCGAAAGAATAAGATTTTGGTAATAATTTCGATTTTTGAAACCACTCTGAAATGTTAATTTTTTTCACAATAAACAACTTTGACTCAATCATAATCTGTATTCATCTATTGGAATACCAAACATTTTTGGTTTTTGGATTAAAGGTAATTTTAAGCAGAAAATAATTCCTTGCCACCGGGCACCTTTTTACTAGAGATCGGCTACGGTATCAAGGGAATCTAAATTTTTTTAAAACCGGCAATTAAATTCTTGAAATCTATTATTTTTTTTATTAATAAAATCAAATGTCTCTTAAAAAAAATTATCAAAAAAGGTCTTCTGTTTCTGACTTGTAAGTGGATGCAATCCCTTAAGTAAAACACAAAATTTGTTGGATAAGGCCAACAAGTTACAGATAATGTAAAATGGACATTATTATAGTTTCCTATAAATTCATACTTAATCCGGTGATGATCCGTGTAAGAGATGTTAGTTGAGAGTTGGTGGGGTTCTTTTATATAACCCTAAAATTCGGAGAGTAAAGGCAACAGTGCCGTCACTACTTCTATCCGACTTTGTTTGTTGTATGTCTAGTTTTCTTTGACAGAAATGGGTTTTCATTAGAAAGTTTGAGATTTACTCGACCTTTAAATACATATAAGGAGCCTAATGATCATTTGATTTCTATTTGAAAGCTCTACAGACTTCAAATACTACACAAAATTCTTTATACATTTTCATTCATTTTTCATTTATTTAATTATACTTTTATGATATTTTTCTAATTTATGTCTCATACTGTTTAGCCTCGTCTGCGATTTCTCCTTCTGCCACCTCTGCGCCTACGACGTCTACCACCGCGACGTCCCCTTCTTCTGCGACGTCTACCGCCACGACGTCTTCTATTGCGGCGCCTGCCGCGTCTAGCGCGTCGTTGACGGGGGCCATCAACATCATCTTTATCGTTATCTTGAGTTCCATTCCTCAGCACTGTTTGAAGCTTTGACTGGTCCCCGACATTGTTTGCAGCTTCATTGTTATTTTCCGACAGTTGGTTTTCGGTATATTTACTGTTGGTGCTTTCTAAAGCGCCTTGTGCTTGTTCTTGCTTATCCCTTAGCTGCTCTTTGGCAAATACGCCTTGTGTATAGCAGCATATAACTGCTAACAGCACTATGAAAATGCTAAGCTTTAGCGACATCTCTGTGTTTGTACTTAGTTGTTGTACCAACGAAGCTTATAAATCAATTGATAATTTTGAACTGTGTGGTAACGCTTTTATAACGGTTCTTTATGCCGCTTTAGAGTCACTAAACGGCGAGCGTTGACATATTGAATGCATTTTACTGCAGATGTGTAAATTCTGGATTCAAGCTTAGTCTTAGTTACAATGTTTAATTGGTCTTTGCAGCTGAGCCAATATAGCCTAATTATGAAACTTATAGGAATGGTACAAAATACTACAACACTTTACTATATCTCAAATAGGTAATGTATACTGTGCTATAATGTGACGAAACCTTTGTCATCACCAAAACCCTAATTGGCGCCGCAGACATGGGTCCTGAAGGTGGACTCATTCGCCTTCGTTTTATGTCAAATTTTAACAAAACCAAGAAAAAGCGTTGATGAGGTTGCAAGCTATAATATCCTCCACCAAAAAATGTGTCTATAGAAGAACTAGATTTTGATCGTGTAGTTTGTATTTCAGCTATATGCTAAAGTGATTCGATCTGAACAGTTTCTTCTGAACAATTGCCACGGAGATAGAAAAGTGTTATAGCTTCAGATGGTCATTAATTGGAATAATACAATTATACATATTTTTCTTAATTAAACGATCAATCTTTGAAAAAAGCGCTATAGCTATAGGCCTAATATACAACCGTTTTTTAAGGCAAGTGTTTTTCTGCATCATCTACTAATATTCGAGTCTTCCGCTTGTTTGTTAGTGTAGCTCTACTATAGTTTTCAGGAGTTTCTCTCGGGAAATTATTGTACAATGACGATCCGCCAGTCGATGAAAAGGGGTTGCCAAAGGGCTAACAAAAAGGGATCATCAAAATTGTTCTTGATCATTTGAAAAAAAATGTACTAGGCTATATAACTAAGCTTGCCTTTGATCTTATAAAAATTGCTGAGAATGTAGTATTGGAGAAATTTATATATCAGCTATCGAAATGACACTTGTGATTGTTTCAGTCTTAAATTACCTCGAGGATATTATGGCCTAACGTGATTAACACCTTTTGAAATTTCTTGCAAGTATATGAAAACACGCTTTCAATTTTGGAGAATTTATTGTAAATCTATATTTAACTCTCGAAAGTTTTATTTAATCTTTGTATCTTGGCATTATTTGAATCATTTAACCGCGGCGTCTATTTCTGCTAGCTGCCCTGCGTTTGGCGTTGACGTCTCGGGAATACTCGTTGCACTCTACGACTGCCACCATCAGTATCGTCATTCACAGCATTGGACATCGCTCGTCTCGTCGAATTTGCTGTGGTAGCCGGTACTGGTGTCGGTATGTAGTAGCCGAGCGGTGGAGTGGTATAAGTTTGTGTTGGTGGTGTCACAGACGAGACTGTGAAGGTGATAATCGGAGGTACTATCGTTTGGGGTGGAATGGCAAGTAGGGAGCTCAATGATGAAAGATCGACGCCGTCGATGACCGGAAATGCCACTGCCAAAAGGTAAATTGCAGTTTTCAACAACATTGTCTAAAGTGAAGCGCAGAATCGTTACTCTGTTCGAGATATCTTTTATACTAAAAGGTCCCAGTTGAATTGTATAGTGTATTCGTTGATAATATTGCTTGTTTGAGGAACACATATGTATTCGCTTAAGCAAATTGTTTGTCTAGAAAAGTGTATACAATCGATTGGGAGCGGGTTCTGAATTGCCTTAGTGATAAATATTTATTTAAGTTTGCTTTGAAAGTATTTTTTATGTTTGTACAAATGTAAAAATTCTTTATGATGAAATTTGGTTGCCACATTTTTCCACTTCTATATATGTGTATGGTATATATGTATATGGATATAAGCTCTACAAAGCCAATTGTAAAGTTCCATTATTTAACTTATTATTTTTTCTGCTTGTAGCTGAATCGTTGAATTTCTAAAGAAGATTGGTTCCGAATTCCCTATCTTCAGCAATAATTAAGTGGCCCTGATGTCTACGAAAAAAATCCTGAATATGTTTGCTGGGAACTAAATTTGATAAAGACTTTTATTACTGTGATGACCCAGAAGGCGTCGACCTAGTGTTGAAGACTGGTCAAGACTTATGTGAGTGGTGGTAGAGGCCATACAACTTCTCCACTATACTAACAACACTTGAACATCAGATCGGCGATAGCGCTGAACCAATCGAATTCATATTCACATTAAGATATTTCTTACTATTCTTCAGCGGGCTGAAGATTTCAAACCATTATGGTAACGTTAAGTATGTAATTTCAAAACTCGCACTGAAGTAGCTGTGTTATTATTTGCTGCAACATGATTTCTAAAAAAGGCGATTTTCGGAAATCTAAAAGTAAAAAAACCCGGTATCAATTGTTTTAAAATTTTAAGCGTATATTTACACATATTTTAAGAATACACAGTAAAGTTTTTGCTGAAAAAAATTTGATATTTTCCAAGTTGCACATTAGTCCGGTTAATTTACACATACAAAGTTACAAAAATGCATAAAAGCTGAAACTCAGCAAAATTGCTCAAAACATAGTTATAAAAGAAATCTCCAAAGTCCTAATCGTTAGGGTGTGTGAAAAAAAAATTGGCACGAGGTCAAAGGTAAAAAAATAAATTTTTCGCAATTTTCAGCAAAACCATGAGTCTTTTCGCAAAATTAACTAAGATCAAAATTGTAGATCACAAAATTCTCTACATAAAATTTGTTTCCTAAGAGCCACCATTTTTGAGATATCCTCGGAACGATGAGGACTTGATTTATCTCTTATAATTATGTTTTGAGTAATTTTGCCGAGTTTCAGCTTCTCATGAAGTTTTGTAACCTTCCTCCTTATTTTAGGCAAGACAAGATATATGATTTCAAATTTCGTTTGTGAAATAGTTTGGCCTTCGCTGTTACTAATTTCACTGCATTTGCCGGAGCTAAGCAGTGTTCTTAGAAGCTGTCTGTCTCTCCTGCCAAAGGCTTTGTGTCATAGCACAACAGGCGAGTGAGAGCCACATAAAAGTACGCTGTAGCCTTTTGTTGTTGCTGGCGCGACGCTACAAAGACACCACCAAAGCTGTGCATCTTTCAAAGTTAATTGTAATTGTTATTGTAATTACCTGGTTATGGCGGCGCATTGCGTGTCGCCAAAATTTGTAACAAACTGCTTTTTGTGTCGTCTTCAGTCGCCTGTCGTCTACTCACACTCACCCTCTACAGGTACATTAGCTGCGCTTTAAACCCTAAACTCATTTCAAGCGACACACACACACTCAGAATGTATTCACGCGCATTTTAATCGTATATCATACATATAAGGAGACTTGGCACTATAATACATTATCTTTGGCGTTTTCAGCGAGACATGACAAATGCGCTGTAACAACAATTTGCTTAATTGCTCGCAATTATCTTAATGAGTGCAGGCAAGAAAGGATCCTGCTCGGCAGCATTCCTCATAGACTATGTGTACGCCTGTGTCTGTATGTGTGTGTGTGAAATAATTTTTGATATTTTTGTTCATGTTGTTGTCGTCCGTAAGAATATCGTAAACTTTTATTTTTAGTATTTATGAGCGTACTTTAGCAAAGGGGTAAGTATACGCAGTGGGTTCCTTGGAGCATTACGTGCGGGTGTATGACATGCCATTTGAGTGTGTGTGTGAGAGAGAAATCATTGATCAAAGTCCAAGAAATACCCTCTTATTGGCAAATTAATAAAACCACTGCATATTTATATAAACAAATTTTAAGTTTTGCTTGCAAACAAAAGATAAACATGCATTCAAAGTTGTCTACGAGCAATTAAAGCACTCCACTCATCTTATACGTTCTGGTCGAAATTTTCTTTAATTATCTTTATGGCGTCAATAGACTTACAGTGAGTTACAACAAACGCTAAAAGCTACGGGAAGTCAAATGTGGCAAACATAATCACTTTTGCTTTGTAGAGGACTAACAAATTAGATAGAATCACATTGAGATATGAATTCATTTTATTATTTTGGTGAAAATTCCATCAACCATTTTTCCACCTTATTAGACAATGACGATGAAGCGCGTAACTCAGAGACTCCAAAATGGTGTCGTAGTTTTTCTTATTGATCGTGTAGCTTACCAGTACTTATTTTTAGCGAATCTCGCACTGAGTCGCGCTTTTAATGTTGCGCAACCTTTAGAAGTATTTTCTTAGATTTTATGTCATATTAAATTATAGCAAAGTGTCCAAATCAACAAAAGACTTAGGAAAGTAAAACAGGTAACTTGACATGGTTTTTGTTCGTTTCTCCAGTCTCAAGTAATTAGGTCTTCTCAAAATTTTTGTCACAACTATTATGAATTAATGACGTCTTTTCCAAATTACAGTATTCTGAAAAAATTGGTACTAATCGCTAGTTTCAGAGCGCTAAATAAGATTTCACTAAGCAATTCGAAGTCCTTCGGCGCTGAAATAGTCGTTTTATCTAACATTACTTTATTCACAATATTTGAAAAAAGCGACGAATAGTGTCATTCAAGCGAAGTTTCCTCTAGAAAGTGTCTCACATTTCATGATTATATTGCATGATTTTCATTGGATCTTACTTGGACATCAGTCAGACTTTCTTAGATATGCAGTCAACAGTGTGACGAGCGCTGCACATTCAAAGTCGAAAGTAGTTTCAATAACAGTGGATGAATGGAATACTGATCAGAAAGTGTGTGAGGATTACGTACCGCCCTTATCAGTTCGCTCTGGTATTGGATGTAAGTAAGTTAAGAAAGTTAGGAGTAACAAAGAATAGGGCCTTTATCTGAGAATATAAGTATAAACTGCTGGAAGTTTTAGGTTCAATGGAAATCAGACACGTCGTTTCGATACCGATACGATAAAGGTGAATAGCCGGAGTAGGGCATAATTTTCACAGAAGACTCAGTCTATACAAGTTCTCACCACAAACATCTTTGTTTTTATAATTAAGTGGCAGGCTAATTATGTCTAAAAAAAAATCAAAATCAATGCCTTAAGTCGCGAAAGCCATAATTAAACTAGCCATTTTGCTATCAACACTGGGGCACACAGAAAACGGTACATACAACACCAAAATAGCGAATGAGTTGTATTCCTTTTTCACACGCACACTCTCTCACGTTCCGCACGTAAGCTTTCGACTTTTGTTTGCTCTACTCGTTAATCCTGCTGGCAACATTAGATACCTGCGAATCGAACACATACACACTTATACACTTACATGACACCAAGGTGAAGTCTGAACATTTGATTTGAGTGTAGTTGCCATTTTGCGCTGTTGAAAATTAGTAATCAGCAGCTGTAGCAACAGCCAGATGGCTTAATAAAAGTGTGTACGTGACCATTGCTTAGGAGTTCGGGGAAATAAGCTGCTTTGTGGTCGCCTAACGAGTGACCGTCGAGTCTTGTATTGTGCCATGATGAGCGATAAGCCGCCGTCCAATGGTTTCGTATTCCGCATTAGGCATTTGGACGTGCGCGCATCAAAGTTTTGCTCCAAAACGTGCCTGGAGATCGGACATCATTTAAGCATGTTTATACGGGTATATCAATAAAGGTATCAACATCAATAGAAAAATTAAGCATATTGCATGGATAGCTATTAAATACCTGATTTGATATGTTACCGTCTGTCGGTCTGGAGTAAGTCCATATAAGGTATTTATTAGGCGAAATTGGATAACTAAAGTCATGGGTCTCCATGGATTTATTTTTCTTCGTCCTTCCTCGTCAAAGAGAAAATCACTCATCTATATATACATGTTTCCTTTTTCTTGAGCTTAGATTTTGTTCAGGTAAAAATCTTAGAGTTTTCATTAATCGGCAGTCATTATCATCAACACTCGGAAGTATTTTTAGGGTAAAACACTCTCTCCACAATCATTCAAAGATGCTAAGGGTACTTATGAGCAATCTTATTTCAAATACATCATTAATAGTCATCGAGTTTAGGCTTTCGGAATTCTCATATCAATAGTTTAGTTATGCTTATTAGGGTGAGTCAAAAAAAAAAAACGAATATCGAATATATGAATTAAAAAAACTCATATCCAGAGAAAAAATATGCCTCAATTTTTTCACTTTTCAAAATTTATAAAGGTTAGTTTTTCTGGCCACTAATGGCCATACTACTGCAATTTTGCAAATTATTAGTGAACTTGAAGGTTATGAGGTTAATATGAATCGAAGATTGGACTTATTTAATATATGAGGTAGAAAATATGGAGATGGTCAGCCAGAACGCCATTTCTTTGTTCTATAAATTGTAAAGACTCAGCTTTCTTAAGACTCGAACTCAAACATGGCAAATAACCATGAAGAGTTTCTTTGTGAAATCTGTGTGTGGCAACAAAACGTATAACTGTAACTAGTTATATGACCAAAATTTAAAGTTTCTTAACATATATATATATGTAATAAACGAAACGACAAAATATGTTTGTAGCAGTAAAAATATTTACCAGATGAGACAAAAACAGCGACATTTTGAGGGGGTCGTCTTTGATCGCAAACATGTTGGCTTATGAGATATCGGGAGTAGGCTGGGGATGGGAAAGGATTAAGAGGTCTTGATCTAAGCTTCACAGATACTAAAAGCTGCTGTCATTAGGTGCATTTAGAGTGCGATGTCGTGATCTCTTGAAGAAAAGCAAATTCGTAGTGCGTAAAGAAGTAGAATAAGGCCTTTTTAAGTTTTTGTAACTGTAAAAAGACAGGTTAGGCCAAATTTTTGAACTAAAATATGTAGTTATGTCTACGGAGGAACAAATTAATTCTTTTACATTTTATAACTTAAATATTGTGATGAAAAAATGTCGAAATGAAAGCTTATATTAAACATTATATACATACATATGTATATACTATATACTTTTAATTTACAACCGTTATTTCAAAGCCATTCCTTTCCGCGCATATTTACGCCACAACCGCTTTGATCATTTAGCCGCTAAGTTAATATGAAAATATTTTTCTTGCAATTATATGCAGGCAAGGAAATTGAAATTTGTGCAGGCCCACACCACCCCCGTCTAACCGGCCTCGCGCCACAAACAAATAATACTACTGATTTTTTTATGCAACGCGCTGTTTGTGGCACAATTTTGTGTGATGCCTTAAGAATGCAGAAATTTAACCACTACAACAACAACAACTATGCGATGGAGACAACACAGCAGCAGCTGTGTTCAACAGTCGGCGAAGTCTGTTTATTTGCATAATGCGGTCGTACGCCGCACAGATTGTGTTTGTGGAGAAAGCAAAAATCCTACAAAGATGTTGAATACCTATACAAGCGCACTCTTATATTCATATACCATACATACATACATACATACATATTTATTAATTTATTTTTAAGGAAAACATAAAGTTTTGTATGTGTGTGCTTGTAGTTGCGAAGAAAGACCCGACTTTCAAGTCGCACTTCCTCTCTACACTACCACGTACCATAACGGTGAGTTTTTACTAATTTCATTTTCGCGACTCTTTTAACAAGAAACAGCCTCTGCAGTATTTGTGGTCGGCAGTTGCTTTCTGCTTTGCTTAGTTATTTATTTTGTAGTACAAAAAATGTGAGTACTTACTTTGTAAATATGTAGTTGAGTGTTTATAAGTGTGCGTGTGTGTTGAAGAAGACAGCGATTTGGTCTCTCTTAAATTTCATTGGCGTTGCAGATTACACGTTTCTCTTGTTATTTTGTCATTTACGCGCACTTGTTGTTGCTTTATGTAAGTTTGTATTGTTGTTGTTGTTGTTGCAACATGCCTATTTGCATAATTTCCCCAAATTGCCAGTATTGTTATTATGCTTTTGGTGTAAAATTACGCGCAAGTCCCTCATGTTTGCACATTTTGATTCAATATTTTTCCTGAAAAGAGAAATGAAAAGAAAGAAAAAATTTAATTTTTATTTGGATTTAAAAATGTTTTGGATTTGCTGCATAATATATTATAAGTAGCTTAAAGTGCAATATTTGGGGCTTAGCTTAAAATTGGAAGTGCTTTAATTGCCGGAACCGGAACTTTAAGTGCCGAACCGGATGAGTTCTGCCAATGAAGTGAAATATCTAACCATATTAAAGGCTGTTGGAAGTAAAGCTTCAAGTACTTATGATATATTTTTCGAAAGTTTTTAGCTGAAACCCATAGCCTCAATAAACAAGTTGTAATTCAATGGCTTTCTTGAGGATTACAGTCTAATTATATTGCATCTTACGCAACGTCTGCCCGATCGATTTTCTTTTACGGCAACGGATTTCAATGTGAAGAGATGTATGTTTGGAGAGTCCATTAGCTGACACCGAAAATGGTCTATCTCTCTACAATATTAATCTTACCTTCACGTAGTGCCTAATATTTAATAGGAACGAGACTCTGGCGCCTATGTAAAATCGGTATACCCTTATCAACAGCTAGAAGAAGATTTCCGCGCCTTCCCAGCCAGTTGCAAACCGGCAGCTCCGAAACGAGGCTCGAATATAGAAGCGTGATACTCATCTTAAAATTAACAGATTACAGAAACCAAAATAAACTAAGAAATTAATCTCTAGAGAGACAAATTCCGGCTACTCATGGCATTTTACACTGGACTCAAGAAGCCTATTGTTTAACATGGGAATAACCTCTTATTCAAACTGCCGGTTTTGCAACATGATGCCGGAAACCTCCAAGCTCCTGATTCTAGACTGTACAGCAGCCTGCAGACGTAGGATAAATGTCCTTGGATCTATGGTATATATCTGAATAGCACCCAGCGGAATCCTGGAATTTATCAGAGTGCTGAGGCTATGTAAGTCTGTGTAACAGAGGAGAGGCCAGAATAGAAGTTAGGACAGTGTAAACAAAAATTAATGTCTATCTGTCTACTAAACAAAGAAATACTCATTGCTGTGAATCAAAGGTATATTGTGGAGATTCTATGTATGTATGTTATACTACAAATTTAGTGGAGGAATACCACCTGCTTTTGGATGATATTATGAAATCTCATTAACTTTCATTTAAACCCACTTTAGATAATGTCTGAGGATTTTCACTTGCAGCTACTTATAATAGAGATGAACAGTATTTAAATCTATAGAAATTTTAACATATTCGACGACAATCTAGTAAAATTGTAGAAGAAGCTTTTTGCAGCCGTACTTCACTGAAGAGAGGAAAAGAGCACGACGGAGTGGGTAGTTAAAACATGAACATAATATTTCATCTCTTAGATTTGGAAGGAGGTTGCCTTTAAGTTATTCATATGAAAATTCAATTTTGAAATTAGGGATACTTTTTTTTTACAACGTCTAGATCTGTAAGCAGCGCATCTCCACGATCTTAAATGGGAAAAGGCAATACAAAGGAATCATCAGATCTTGGGGATCATCAACACTGAAAAGTTTTCAGAGTGCACCAAAGGAGGCCCTGGTGGGTTATCTAGCCTCTAGCTTTCGAAGGCCAATTAACACTTCGATAGCTTTTCCTTTCTGGAAACTCATGAAATTGGATCTCATGCGTCTACAAAGCGCCTTGAACCTGCCAGCCAACGAAGTGGCTGGTTGGTAAGAAACATTATAACATATACAACGACAGTACTGCATTTCTGAAGATGAGTTTTTGTAAATTTGCATAGTCGGATATTAACATATAAAGGATACCAAGTGATCACTCATCTACTCACATAGCTTTCAAGTCTGCCGTTGGGCAAAGTTTGATACTCGTATATGAGATGTTTGTGATAAATTTATACGGCAATGAAGGATTGGAATAGAAAGGTATAGTCATGACTTCTGTTTTGCTATTCCGTTTAGAAAAACAATTCGAGCATAAAGTTAAAACAAAAATATATGTTGCTTGGAACTACAAAGTGAACTCTCCACAGACTGAACGAGTGGCAATCATAGCAAAGCGTGTTAAGCAAAGACGCTAGTGACTCGAATAGAACTCAGACGGTTTATTAAACCGTCGTCTTCCAGTTACTTACAAGTATAAGAAGTTTCTATAGACTCGACCACAAAGGTATATATTACAAAACCCACAACCATCCTCTACATATGCATTAAGAATGCATTTGCTTTACTTGACAAAAAAGTATAATATTAAATCGGAGGGAATTTATAAAAATTAAAAGCTTAGTAAATACAAAAAATATATAATAATAAAATATGAAATTCGAAGCACTTTACTTCCGTTTCGTTGAATATGTAAATGCTAAGTATCTGAATTATTCAAAAGCTTTACGCATAAAGAACTCAGCACTTCCAGTGGTAACACCATTTGATGTGAATGGGGAAAAATGACAAATGATCGCGTCGAAAAATTGCCAAATCTGCCACAACAACTGTGGATTTGAAAGCCATAAAGCAAAAACAATTGCCTGCTCCACGAACACGTGGGTATCACAGTTAAGTTGTGATATTTCTTCAGCATTTGTGTCATCACCTTCGACGGCGGCTGTGGCGGTAAACGTGTAATGTGCGGCATTTATCGCGTCAGTTATAGCGAAAAACACTTTGCGCACACGTTAACACCGGCGACACTGTCGCTGCCGAAGACTGCGCTTGCTTGGATGGAGCAGGTCGTTCAGGTCGTTAGTGGTACAAACGCCCACCGTGAAGGCTTTATCCACGTCTCCTTGTGCCACATAACTCTAAATATAATATAATGTGTTCGCAACACAATTGTTTACCGTTAGCGCGCATAAATAATGTGTGTGGCATGACAAAGCGGAAGCGGCAGCTGTGCGACAATATTTTTTGGGTTCTCAGTGGAAGTCTCCTTACGACTGCAGTTAGTACAGTGTATGGAAGAGCTTTTCTATAAATATGTGCGTATTTTTTGCCGTTTGCTATTGGAATTCCCGTTTTGTTTTGGCGACATGGTTGTGTTGCGCCAAAAATATTCATAACCGTTTCTTGTTGAAGTAACGGTAAAACAGTGGAATGCATTAGAGCTTAAGACATTAAATGGCATGTCATTTGCGTCGACGCTCGGTAAATTCATCGTGCTTTTTGGTTAAAAGATTTTTTTTCCTTATATGTAAACTCCCTGTATTTCTAGCTTTTGATTCTTAAGTCGGTTCAAAGACATAAACACGTGTTTATTTCAAGCTAATGATAGCTCTGCCGTGCGCTTTATTCTTTATTCTTTACTGCCACACATTTGCTTTATGTAACTTAAACTCGGTCGCATATGTTTTGTCGTGTTTGACATAACCTTAATGTTCCGTTACGGAAATAAACACGCTGTTTCTTATAAGAAAAATATTTTGAAAGCGTTACTTAAGTAATGAAGCGCTATTAAAGTGTGCTCTTGGGAAATTGGAGACGAAATATATAAATGTAATATAGAAACATATAGAGGCAGTGCTCTACAAACTTGATATCATTCGCATAAAGACACAAGCTCTTTCCCAGTTCTCATTATTTTTCTGATGGCTGTGGAGTCAGGTGCGAACTATAATGTGGATGCATACGAACCTGCCAACCAAGCTTCTGGAGCTACTGGTAAGTCTTCATCGATGTGCATTGTCCTAAAGGAAGATACTACCTCTCTTATGTGCCAACTGGGCGCTTCTGGGCGATTGGTTAGTTCAGATGGTCCATTCCTTAACAGTTCAAATCCGAATTAAGCGTTTGCCAGTGAGTAAGTAGCTCATAGTAGATGATTTCATGACCAATTTCATTTGACGTTGTCGCAAGTGATGCACCTTTCAGCACCTGTAATCCTTCGCTTCAGAAATAGTTCGATTTTATTACGATCGAGTCACAGATGGAAATTCGTTAACTTCTAAATGTGTCGGATCTCTCCAAATATATCGGCAAAGTTGGAAGCAGTACTTGAAGTACATTTAGAAATCTTGTTGTTTTTTTTAAATAAATCTCCATATAGGCTTGAGTAAAAGAGCCAAAATTCCATGATGACCGTCTTGCCAGATTGACAAATGATTTCTGAAACCAACAACGAGATAGTCTACTCGTTTCTTTCGCTCTAACTGTTTACATTAACAAATGAGAAAGAGTTTTTTAAGCCCCCTAATCTCATGTCCTTAAAAATACTATGTGTGATTGTATCAAAGCTGTGACTGAAACATTCTCACACTTGAAAACATTAAATTTGAGCAAAAATTCTGAAAAACACAAAAATAAATCCAACTTTTGTTACCAAATTTTGGTGGAAAACTTTTTACTCTAAGCGAGTTCGTTCACATTTCGGGTGTCATTGACTTTCCAACTACGTAGCACTCGGCGTTCTGATTGCTGTTGTTGGTTTCAACGAAAAGTGGTTTTTGAACTTCCGCCTACCGAACGCAGTTTTATCGCAAATGTCTCAACAAAGTTCCGAAGTTTTCATTAACTTTTATATATGTATGTGTGAATGTATGTAGACATTTATAGATATGCATGCAGTCGGTATTTATGTTCGGACTTGAACGACCTTGACATTGAGGAACCGGGTAATGCTGAAAACGAAATTCAAACTGCAAAATTGAAAGCACTAAAAGGCGTGAGTAAGAGAATTTCATATGAAAACGCTGAGAAAATGCGAAACTTCATTCATTTCTCATCACCGGAAGTGTGGAGACTTTCAAACAATCACCAAACTTTGCGCCATTTTATATTAAATTATTTGTTTGTGTGTGTGTGTTGTATCAGTCTGTGTTCCTGTTTGTGTGTATGTCAGTCGTCGTAGTGGTGGTGAAGTGGCGAAGTTATTGGCTCGGAACCCTTTCAGTGGAATTGTAAGCATATACGCACACGCTTAGATACTACTTAACAAGAGTTGAGGAGAGTATTCTTAGAAGAAGTCATCAACAAGTTGGTCCAACAAAGTCGTGGCTACAAAAGTTATTAAAAAGTCAACTTTTTTAAATATGAACGTTGTT